ATGGAAAGTGGTAACAGTCGCCTATGGCAGGAATGGCAACGCATGGGGGACCATGCGTTGCCATTCCTGAGGACTCAGGTGTTATTCCTCTGTACCCAGTAAATTCACGCCATATCCCACCCTTCAAACCGAAACACAGCCATGCAAACACAACTGCTTCAGTATAGAAACACGAATGGGGCAGAGGTACCCAAGCAATCAACTTTTGTACAAAGTCTCCCTCTGGTTAATTCTTCTCATAATAATCTAATAAGAAAAGGGGTTGCAATAAAATTTGTCATTTTCCGGTATTAAAAGGAGAGATCGTCAAAAAGAAAATGATTACATCCAATAACAATTTCTTAGACGGAATCCTAAATATAATGAATAAAGTAATAAGTGAAGAAATATCATCCTCGTTTGCATTGTGTTCAAATGAAAGGGTACAGTTGGAAATAATCTCTTTTGTCGTAATTAAAAATAAGAGTGGAAAAAAGTGGCATCATTAATTATGTTTTTATATTAAATGCAGCGCCTGGCCCCTTTCCGTTTTGGCCGACAATTTCCTTGGAGTAATTTTCAGTATAACTTTCCTCTTCAATGGAGTAATTAGCTTCAATTGTCTGACATATTTATGAAGGAGATCTAATTGTGATGGATTTAATACTCTAATTTATTACTTGGGATTAAATTGCAATTGATTTTATATTATTAATTTTTTAATTTATCCGGCGTTTTCGTTAATTTTTCCGGCACAGCGCCATCTAGTTCCAAAACGAGCAGAGTATTAATTAAAAGAGTTTATCCGGTTTATCATTAATTAGTTTTTTTTTATTGTTAGGGAAGCAAACGAGCAGTCGGCCCACCGAATAGAAAGCGGCTACCGTCGCCCACGATCACCTGCAACACGAGAGAAGTTGCTTGTGCTTTGCTTTAGTTACTGTAAAAGTAGGGGATTAAACAAGAATTATTACACATATAGATTACTAGTTTTTATCCATGATTTCGATCGCATTACCGAGATATGTTCAACGATTGAGGTAAAAAGTAGCTTATAGCATATGGACAAGTGGCGGTTTTCCACTGTGTGTTTTTCAAGGCACTTTTTTTTTCACGCACAACCACTATTTGGAATCAACTTCCAGCAGCAGTATTTCCGAAACGATACGACAACATAACCTTCAAGAAAAAAACATATTCCTTTTTAAAAGGCCGGCAGCACATCTGCAATGTCGTTGGTGTTGTGAGTGAACATGGGCGGCGGTAGTCACTTACCATCAGGTGAGCCGCATGCTCGTTTGCCTCCTGTGTTGCAAAAAAAAGTTCTTATAAAAGAATACTAAATTTTATAGTAATTGGTTAAGCTATTAAGACGTAACAAACGAACAAACTCACTTTCACATTGTCATATTAATAGTATAAAGAGGAAAGATTTGTTTGTTTGTTTGTAATGTATAAACTTAAAATTACACAACCTATAATAAAAATTCAACTAAAATGATACTTTCTTTTTTGTAGTTGGTTGAAAATACAATGTACATATCTTTATGACTATATTTTCTGAATATTATTAAACTATATTTTCGAATACACCACAACGTTGCTGAACACGTTACTACGTTTTTCAAGTACATATTTTCTCTCAATATCCAAAGATTACCTTTTGGGATCAATCTTTCAGAAAACCAACCTAAGAATTTTCGTTTATCACACGATTAATTAAAATGAGTATTTTATCTTGCTTATCTTTTATTCTGAAATCTATTTTCAGTTTTAATTTATGCTTAAATGCTTGAATGTTCAATGAATTACGGATTATCCAAATGGATTTTGACGAAATGTACCGTTACAATAATCATTCTTAAGTACAATAAAGCTTATTAGAGTATCTTATAATAATTAGAAGTTTCGATTACATTTCTGTATTAATTAAACTGGTGATTATTTTCTTGGAATATGGATACAATGATATCATTATTTATGGTGGTGTAGGGTAATCCCCTCCCCCTTACTGAATGGAGTGACGACTTCAAGTGCATTGTAGAAAGTCAGTGGATGTAGGCAGCTCAGACCGATCCTTATGGCAATCTATGTGAGAGGCCTATGTTCAACAGTTGATTTCGCATTCTAAAAACAAACATATTTTATAAAAGTATTTAATATCTTCAATCTAACGTGTCTACGAATGAATGTCATCGGTTTATTTTGTATCTTTTTTCATATATTTCAATATTAAAAACAAGTACAAAAAGATTTTTTTTATACAACTTAGAATGGCAAACAAGCTGACGGCCCATCTGATAGAAAGTGGTAACCGTCGCCTATAGACATGAGCAGTACCATGGACATAACAGAGTATACTGTTTCGCCCATGATACCCTTTATGCGTTGCCATTCCTGAGGACTCAGGTGTTATTCCTCAGTACCCAGTAAATTCACGCCATATTCCACCCTTCAAACCGAAACACAGCCATGCAAACACAACTGCTTTACGGTTGAAATGCGAATGGGACGGAGGTACCCAAGCAATCGATTTTTGTACAAAGTCTCCCTCTGGTGAAAAAATCGGTTTATTTTGTAGTTGTTTTTAATATTATTTGAAAATGTACTTGTATTTGTACAACGGTTAATGATTAAAACGAAATAGATAACGACAGATGATAAAACAGTCTTCCTTTAAGCTTAGTAAATTATATAGACATTTTAGATTAATACCACAAAAATATTTTGTATTCAAACTAAGATATTACATTTGAATGTTGTCTTTGCTTCTATTCAGTAATCTCTATTCATTCAATAGTCAAAGATCTTTACCGAATAATTATTTCTGTAAGAGTTCATTGAACGTTTCAAACCTTTGATACAATTCAATGCTATGGGAGCTTAAGTCAAATGATTGTGAATATAATATAAATAAAAACCATTTGAAAGCACCTTTTGTTTTTGAAATGTAAATTGTTTATTTGTGTTAACAACGTAAAAGATGAAATTTTTACTCACGAAACTTATCAATTCACATAGATCACGTACATCTTATAGCTTATTCTTTTAATAAATTTCAGCTGGGGGGAAAGGGATTGTTAGTAATGGAGTTTGACAGCCCCATTGCTAGCAATATACCTTATTAGGTCGACCTCCACGTAGTTCCCCCTGGAAACTATCGCGAACAATTCTTGTTGAATTCGTCATGATGGGCTAACTGACTTCACTGGTGCCTCGCCGATGTATACCGATAGCGAGGGTGGGGTTACCATTCCATTATCATCCATTAAAAAAAAAAAAGCTGTGTATTATCTTCGATTTTATTTCTTTTGCATATTAATTATATGTTACAGATCAATTATATTATCTATCACTCTTCACTGGTGCCCCGCCGGTGTATACCGATAGCGCGGGTGGGGTTACCATTCCAATATCATCCATTAAAAAAAAATCTGCTACTATAAGTTTATGCTAAATATATGATCGTACGTATACGTACGTATAGCATCATATGTCGACTTTGACCGGGAGGCGGGTAAAAAATTCATACTATATCTAGTCCGACATATGTAATGAGTTTGCTGGCAGTAGAAATATCATGACGAATATGTAACTTATATATTATGTATCTTTGCATTTGCCTAGCTTTAATATAGATTACTACTACTGCTGGTGGCGCTCTCTAGTGTCAAAAGTTACTGTACGACTTACCGGATAACCACTTTGCGTGTCCTCCGAACTATAAACAATTATCAGGTGACAATTATTTTAAATTGTTCGAACATAGATTAAAAAAATAATAAGAAGTGATATTTGATATTACGATCTTCAAAATGCTGTTAAGCGTTGTTCTATTGAACAGTTATCGCTCTTATATTTATAGAGATTAAATAGCTTTTTGTATACGTAATTTTCAGAAGTCGGGAAACTAATGAAACACATCACTTCCAGATAGTGTATGAAGATAAAATATACATAAATTTTTGGGGTTAGATCTTCATGTTTCTATATTTTCTAAATGATACATTAACTCATACATCCATGCATATCTATCACGCCTCTCTCTCATTAGTGTAAGCATTGCTTTCTCTTATAAATAGTAAACCATGCACGAAAATCTAATAGATATCTAAGAGTAGATATTGTTTATCACATTTATTTATTCTAGTACTAACTGCGTACCTATAAAGGGGGAAAGGGATTGTTAGTAATGGAGACTGAGAATCCCATTGCTAGCAATATACCCAACCAGGTCGACCTTGTGGTTCTCCCTGGAAACTATCATGGTTAATTCCTGATGAATTGATCATGATGGGCTAACTGGCCTGTCTTCATTCTCATCGATCACCCTTCACTGGTGCTCCGCCAGTGTACCCCGTTAGCGCAGGGGGGGTTACCATACCATTCTCACCCATCAAAAAACAAACCGCGTACCTATGTGTGTTAAAATGTAGCGGTCACGACCTAACAAATAGTCATTGTCTGATTTAGTTACACATGCAATACCAATATTAAGGACATAAAGGTGCCGGGTCTATGTTTAAAGAGATTAATCACAGCTTTTGATTTAGCTTTGCTCAAAGCGACGATGTTACATTTTAATCAAAATAATGCTATTTTTCATATTATTTATACATACATACATACACACACACACACACATATATATATATATATATATATATATATATATATATATATATATATATATATATATATATATAAACGTATGCACTTCTCATATCACTGGCTCAAACGACTTTACTGAACCTTTCCTGCGCTAGATTACCTGCTAATCATTTTCTCTCTCACTCCACTGGGTTGGCTGGAAGAGAACTCTTTCAGAGATAAGTCCACCCTCATTAACAAGTTTACTAAACGCTATATGCTTTTTTTTAAATTGAAATAAAGAATATGTATTTTTTTGCTTCCCAACAAACAGTTTTATGTTAAGAAAAATTAATTAAATTTCGTCGAACAAAATCTATTTGTAAGCAAGTTAAATAAAAGCTTGGCAAAATAATGTTATTTGGTTTCAGATGCGATGCAGCCAAAGTGAAAGTGTAAAGGTTGTTACGAATGTGTTGGGACGTAAGGAGAGAAATATAAACCAATAATGTGGAAATGTGCCCGTGAACACGAATCGGAATATGGAGATGTATAAGAAATTATTCTGGGCCGTGCTCCAAGGTTTCGTGCTGTTACCAACCATCGCTACGAGAGGTAAGGTTTTTTTCTATTGTATTATATTATTACATACTGTATATTATATTATTATTATTATATATTGTAACTGACTTTTGCTCGCGTTTTCGTACGTGCGAATTTTGGAAGTAAGGAAACCTAATGAAATTTATTTTAATATTACATCTGGAATTAACAGCTTATATCTAGAGTAATTTAAAAATATTAAATTTACACCATACATTAGCCAATTACAGATTTCCAATTTGTATACCAGACAATATTACGCTTATTTTTGGAGGGTAGGTTAAATTAAATAGAAAATCTTATATATAAAATTCTCGTGTCACGGTGTTTGTTACCAAACTCCTCCGAAACGGCTTTACCGATTTTTATGAAATTTTGTGTGCATATTGGATAGATCTGAGAATCGGCCAACATCTGTTTTTCATACCCGTCAATGATAAGGGTGACCCTCCTCAAAATATTTTTGTTTTATTTTTTTGACAAATTTTTCCATTTTTATTTTATTATGATTTAGCATTGAAAAATACATACAACTTAAAATTTTCATCGTTTTACGATCAACCCCTGTATTTTAATTGCGATTTTTATATTTCGTAATAAGTGGTAAAACAACGTTTACGGGATCAGCTAGTAAAATATAAAAATAAAATCTATGGAGATACTTATTTGAAACGTCGCATCACTGGAAGTTCAGCAATAATTAGTGTAAAAGTGTGTATTATTTGTGTGTGTAGTGTTGCGTGAATGTGGTTTACAAAGAAAAAATGTCATGTGGTGTAAAAAAAAGTGTATTGTGCGCGTATTGTTTTGTATAAAGGAAGGGTCACATGCAGCTAATTTCATAGCTTGATTGTTAATTCATCATAATTGTCTTATAGTATAAAATTTCTCATAAAATAGATCACTTCGAGACGGAGCATCAACATAAAACATACGTTTACATGAAGTTCGACTTTAATGTTTAACTATTAACGTACACAACTTGATGCAGCTGTTTTTACATGCCCCCATAACAGATACATAGATAGACAAAGATTCTAAAAATGTTTTTCTTTTAGTCAATTTAGAAGTTGTATAAAAAAAGATAAGCTTATAAGTTGTAGAGGTGACACCCTGAAAATAGAACATAAAATATGTACATATTTGATATACTAATTTCAATATAATGCATGTTGTTACTGTTCATATTTTAATAGTTTTTTTTTATACAACTTAGAATAGCAAACGAGCTGACGGCCCACCTGATTGACAGTTGTAACCATCGCCTATAGACAAGTACCATGGACATAACAGAGTATACTGTTTTGTATATATGGTAAATACATTTTTGACAATGCTTCAATCGGTGAAAGCGATGTGTGTATATTTGTTACTTAATCACGCTTAAACGGTTGTACGGATTTGAATACATTTTGGCATACATGTAGGTTAAATCCTAACGTAATACATAATGTATATTGCTTGCTATGCACGTGAGAAAAGGCAAGTTTTTTATACAAAATTGTGTTCTTATTACGATATCTCGAAAAAAATCTGTAATATGTCTTTTCTAATTTTATTATATGTTCAGTGATATAAAATGGCACGTTTCGCTTAACGATGTGTAAAGGGAAATTATTTATGTAATTTATCAGTTGACTAGATCGGAAAGAATCTTTCATAGGTATGTACCTACATAACGGTGAATCCATTTTGTCATACTTATTTATTGGACTTGATTTTTATTATATTTTCTTATTGAAATTATTTCATATGAATACTTTTTTTATTTGACTTGAAATGGTAATAACGGTTTGCTTTATAGTAAATTTTAACAGCATAAATGAACCTTTTTTTTTTTATAATGGATAATATGAAATTAAAAGAGTAACTGTTGAAGTTCTTGCAGGATCTTCTTCGAATTCTGCATTCATAAAAATTACGGTTTAAAAGTGCTTGTAAACAAGTATATTTGAATAAATATTTGAACTTGACAATTTATTTATGCTATCGGTATACGCTGGTGTAGCACCAGTGGAGGATGATAGGCGAGATTAAAAGCTGATTAGTGTCCCATCTTGATGAATTCATCAAAAAATCATTGCCTCAGCCATTATCTGTTCAGTGATGAATATAGGCCTCCCCCACAGACTGCCATAAGGAACGGTCCTAAGCCACCTGCATTCACTTACTCTTTGCAATGTATTTAAGATCGTCGCTCTATCTAGTGGAGAGGAGGAGGTCATCCTACACTGCGTTTGCACGTGCAGGGTTACTAATCAAGAACTTTTCTTCCTCACGGTTGTCAGTTTTTCAAGCTATACAACTAGCCTATTGGCACTTCAGCTTCAGTCGATTAATTTTTTCGCAGATATTTTCGTTTCGGATTCTGGCACTTTTATCAAAAATATACTTCTTTATTTCCAGGAGTAACCATGTGTACACTTGATACGATATATTATAATAATAATATTTATTTGCAATAAATGTGGAAATATATATATATATATATATATATATATATATATATATATATATATTTCAATATATATATATATATATATATATAATATGCACTACATATTTAGCCAGTTTTTTCATACAAAATTGAATTATATACAAAATTACTTGTTATTGAAATAATGGATTTAATTATAAATCTATTAATATTAAAAAGCACAATACACAGTAGTAATAAAATTATAAATAATCTGATCTATTAATTAATGTCAAACAATAAGTATCGTTCGTCGATCCCAGCATAGAATGGGCCTCTCCAACTTGTCCCGTGGGTGTCGTAAGAGGTGACTAAAGAGCTTATGGTGGAAGGATGGGCAGGAGCGTTCCTCTGTAAAAGCGTAACATTTGTAAAAGCCTAACTCCGGTTGCCAACCCGCCTGCCAAGGATGGCAACTACTGGCAAAACCCCCTAAGGGGGAGGCTTATGTTCAGCAGTGGACAGTTAAAGGTTGATATGATAATGATAAAAGCATTTGTTTATCAACCACTTGTAATAATTCTTTTTATTTAATTTAGCGTCCCCGTTAATAAACGGGGACGCTAGTCACCATTACTAAGAATCCTTTCCTACTATATGTTGCCCATAATGATCACGGTTGAAGTTGCTTTTCAACCGACTTAAAAAAGAAGGATACTCAATTCGGTTGTGTTTTTTATATTTGTCACCTCATAATTTCGTCAGTTGTAAATTGATTGTGAAAATTCTTTTTATCTTAAAAGATATACTTATAGACTGGTCTCTTAGAAATTTTATCAAAATCTGTATCGTAGTTTAGTTTTAAAATTAAAATAACAGGCAAAACGCCACGATGAAGTTGATTTTATTATAGAGCACTATCTTATTTTGTATTTAAACAGTTTTTTATACAATTTATCTCACTCTTACTGTCTGACTAGTCGTTAGGTTTCTAAACAGAATGCACGGAATCGTGAGTATGCGGTGCAGCGTTCTATTATTTGGAATTGACTTCTGGCTCCTTGGTTCGGTAATCTAAACGGGGAGCCTGACATGAAACCCCGATTTGTGCAATTAAGGTTAGAATGGCGAATAAGCCGACTGCCTATCTAATTAAGAGTGGCGAACGTCACCTATATACATGAATAGCATTTCGGACATCGCAGTATATACTGTGATGCGCAAGGTACCCCTCATGCGTTGTTATTCTAAGGACTTAGGTGTTATCCCACCGAATAATGTAATTTTACTACCATATCTTACCCTTAAAACTAAACCTCCTACGAACGCCCAGGTTAACAAATGAGCTATCTGTCGAAGTTTTACCAAGAAACTACAGCATGGAGTTCTTAAAAAAAGGGATAAAAAGGTTTCTTCAGGATCGGCAGCGCACGCGTATTGCCTCTGATATTGCAGGCGTTCATTGCTACGGTAACCGCTTACCAGGTAGGCAGTATGTGGCAAATAGGCAGTGGTATAAAAAACTGAAACATAGCCATGCAAGAATAGAAATAATAATAGCATGATTCCCTCCAAAAACACAAATGGGACAGAGTTATCCATGAAGAGTCTTGTACAGTCTTTTTCTGGTACATATGTATATAATAATTAGAAAGATTTATTAAAGAAGCCCGAGTTGATTTTAAACGATCTGATTTGTGTTGTGACAGGCCCAGTGTAATTAATTTCTGAAAATTAATTTGATGAACTACTCACTTGTTATTCTAGTCCTATGCAAATACTCCGTTACCTATTTAATAGAAACCAAAATTGGTTTAATAAATGGGTTTAAATATACAAGTACTGTATACTTTTACTTTGTTCTTTTGTTGTTGTTGGGCTATTTTGGTAATTGTTTCTTTAAAGCTATATGTTACTAACCTCAATACTTCTTACTGATACCAATATATCGTAATTGATTTTCTTTATATATTATATGTATTTAAATTGAAAAATATAACCCTCTATTATTGGCAGGATTTGAACTCGAGTTAAATCTCAATAGTGTATTTAAATATATGACACCATGTTTTAAAGGATCACAATACCAGAGGGAGACTTTGTACGAAAGTCGTTTGCTTGGGCATTCATGTGTTTCAACCGTAAAGCAGTTATGTTTGTATTGCTGTGTTTCGGTTTGAAGGGTGGGGCGTGAATTTACAGGGTACAGAGGAATAACATCTGAGTCCTGAGGAATGACAACGCATGGGGGGTATCATAGGCGAAACAGTATACTCTGTTATGTCCATGGTACTGCTCATGTCTATAGGCGGTTACCACTTTTCATCAGGTGGACCGTCAGCTCGTTTGCCATTCTAAGTTGTATAAAAAAAATACAAGCGCAAGATAAGGAAGATACTGGAAACTCAATCCTATAGGTATAGTAATTAGGTAATTACTCAGCTAACTTGGTCATATATTGACTTACCATCACCATGTCAACCGTTAACTGTCCACTGCTGAACTATGTTCAGTCTCCCCCATAAGGGGGTTTTTGCCACTAATTGTCATGCTTGGCAGGCGGGTTGACAACTGCAGTTAGTCTTTGGTGATAATT